CCAAATTGAGTTGCATTCACAATGAAAACATGAATGTGACTAGCAGGGCCGGCAGAAAGCATCCCGCTGCTCGGCGCCAGCCAGAGGTACTGCCTGACTCCCGCCATGCGGCATCGCATCGCTGACGTCATTTCTCTCTGCTGTAGAAGCTGTAATGAAATTCAGTGTGCCTCTTCATACAAGTCCACCTAACTGTTACCGAGCTGGTAATTAAAAGGAAAAGGGAAGGAGGAGCAGGGAAGTCAGGCTAACACATTTCTTCCTCTTGTCCTTCATTTGGGGTTGCAGCAGGTTTGCTGCCAGGAGCCACCTTTTGCATCATCTCAAGCCACCTCTCACATCCCCTGGAGGCTTTTGGGCTCCCTTTCCCCCAGGGGATGCTGCAGCCCCTACACAGAGCAGGGAGGGTTTCTGAGGGCTGTTGCTCCTGCCCTGTAAACATCTCTGTCACTATTGCTGAGGTCCCCAGCAGGCACCGCCTCGGGGTTTGATAGGAACCTCCTTCTGTCCCACATTTCTGGAGTGCGTCTCCCCTCGGCAAGGAGGAAGGAGCTTTCCCCCATAAAAATGCCTGCAGCAAACTGGGTTCTGCTGTCCCCCATGCCAGGGCCACGCCAACCCAGCTGCTGCTGGGGCATCAGCCAGTTTTTCTCTGTAATAATTACTTCTGCGAGCCATGAAAACCAGAAGAAATCCAACCTTTTCCTCATAATGAGTGCCCCTACCTAGCTTTCCATCAATACACCAACAGGAGGTCTCTTTTTTCATTTGTCACCATCAATGTTCTGTTTCTTGTTGCATTCCCAGCATTTTTTAATAGAGGTCTTTGCTTAAGGATACCCCTATGGACTCCTGGACGGAGGGGAGTCATTAAGGGAAAAATCAAATAAGTCACCCCAAAGCCCAGACGGGGTGTGGGGAAGCTGGAGCTGTGGGGGGGGATGAGGATGAGCGATGCTGGGGGCACTGTGCTGCATCTCACCAGCACAGGGCAGCCAGCAGAAAAAAGCTTCACATCAGGAATAAATTTGTCACCGACCCAGACACTAAGGAGGATCCATGCCTGTAGATACCTAGACCTCTCCTTCTGACTTGATTGCTGTTTTTGTTAATTTACCCTAATGAAGAAGAGTGTTTCAGTACAAACAGGGGTTGCTAACGAGCACGCAATGGCAGCAGCAAGCGCCAGCTGGGGAGGTGGCAGCCGGGGAAAACCCACCCAGGCTGTCTGATGATGGAGAGCTGCACAGCTCCGAAACTGCCTGCAGCTCCCTGAGTGGGGCTTGCCCCCTCCAAACCACAGCTACCTTCAGCTTCCCAAGTTTATAATGAGGAGAGCAGATAAAAAACCACAGATTAAAACTCTCCTTCCTTCTCACTGTGTGCTTCTAGCTAGCTGGGGTTAGTGGAGCAGAGCAAAAGCAAGCTGGCTCCACCCCATGTACACAGTTACCATCCATGAGCTATTTTTTTCGTGGTTCCAAATGGAATGAAAGGATGTTTTCCAAGCTAAAGAGCAGCAATATGCTGATCTCACTGAAACATCTGCAACAGTTTCAAATGATCCCTTTAACTGAATATAGCAGCAATTATAGAGTTATTGCATTTCAGATGTTTTGGAGGTTTGGGGTCTTCTTTCCATGGTGACTTAGAAAGGGCTGTATGAATTGCAGGGCTACGTCGGGCTGCTGTGCAGGAGGACTCAGTCCCAGCCAAGCGCCAGGAAGCTGGAACAGCTCAGGACTCTGAATCTGAGCACATCACACATCCATGAGCCAGTTCCTGCTTTAAATTTAAACCATTTAAAATATTTAAGTTCTTTTTATTATTTTAGCAGTTTAAAATTATTCTTCTCAAGGCGCCAAGCGCCAGGAAGCTGGAACAGCTCAGGACTCTGAATCTGAGCACATCACACATCCATGAGCCAGTTCCTGCTTTAAATTTAAACCATTTAAGTTCTTTTTACTATTTTAGCAGTTTAAAATTATTCCTCTCAAGGCTGCCATGTCTTCCATTGCAGTTCTTTGCAATGCTGGTGAGAAAGTTGTTTCTGTACCCTGATGAGCCTTGAGAGTGACCTGGGCTGCTGAATCACTCATGCTTGGCTCTTTTCAGTTTGGGGGACACACTAATTTTTCCAGTGTGGATGTGGACCCTCCAGCAAGACCTGAGCATATGCCACCCTTCCCAAACCCTTCATCAGCCACCCACGGACACGCAGACAAGACAATGAGAAATTGATGATCTCAAACTGCATCAGTCCCAACCCCCTTAAAACACAGGGCAGGTCTTCCTGTGCCAAAGCACAAAGCTGGTGATGGGACCAAGGGCCAGCCTGCAGTCTCAGCACCTCCATCCCACCCCATCCTACCTCTTCTGGTGGCCCAGCAGCTCCTCTATGACAAGCACAGCCTTCACAAAAGCATCCAGAAATGGTATAAAGCCATCAATAGACACAAATTGGCTCTTCCCCATGTTTATCTTTTCCCACCGTTAATCACCCAATTTTATTTGTCCAGCCTCAGCTTCCAGCCATTGATTCTCAGTATGCTTTTCCTTACAAGAGTTAGGAGCTGACTCGTCAGTATCTATTATTTTCACCTTGTGATGGGTTTTTGGCATGAGTGAACCAAGGACGGGTTCACTTGGGAAAGATATTTTCTTACAGTGCAGAGTACATGAGAAAACTGTGCAGAGATAAGAATGTCTAAGTTGTAACAGCTCAAAAACCAGACAGATACTTCTGCCCAGCTTCTTGGCTAGTTTAAGTCAATTTGGCACAAACATGAGTCTTTCAGATTCAACTAGGAGCATCCATAAAGTCGAAGGAAAATAATTAAATAAGGGATGGGAAGTGGTTGGGTGAAGTACAGCAAGACCTCCTTGCCAGCCCGTGCGTTAGAGACAGCGTGCTTTGGATAAGAGGAGGATGCATTTTGGGTGATGATCACTTCGCTCAGAGAAGTTATTTTCCCTGGGGCTGAAATGCAGCCCTGGCAAAGCAGAGCCACCCTGGAGGTGCCAGCACACGCTGCTCCAAGGACTGCTCTGCTTCATCCCAGCTGGCACAGCCCCACTGGGCTCTGGCTCAGCTGTCCCCTCCCAACACAAACCTTCATTTAAACCACAGAGCAAAACCTAACCCAAGCTCCAGCCTGTGCTGCAAACCAGCTGACTCCTTGAGCAACCCAAAAACCAAACCCAGTCTTTATTCTCAGCCCAAAGATGCACATTTGCTCAAGAGTGGTAACAATTTTTCCTTATCGTTATTCCTAGCTAGAACATCCAGCCTTTCAGCTCGTGGTTGCTCGAGGTGAAAAATCAGCACAATTTGAACTGTCATCAACCAAAACATGAAATGAATGCTGTGTTTTATTTAATAAATTCCAGCAACACAAGGCTGCCTGGTAGACACAATGTAATTTGTTTTGGACGTAAAGATGGAAAAATAATTGTTTTGTCTTCAAGGCAATTAAAAAAAATTTCAGTATTAACGGGAAAGAAGCAGCCAAGCTAAAATTCATATTTAATAGATTATTTTTCCTGTTCCCTTATATTAGCATGCAGACATTGTCAATTCTCACTATTTTGCTCAAAGTCAAGAAATCATCACATATCACTAGGAAGTCACTGCTGCTGGTATTAGGAGCTCATCTGAGAACTAAAAAGCACACAGAAAAGGGAGAGGGATGGGAAACGGCAGCTGCTAAATAGTTCTTGAAAATATGACCAAAGATAAAAAAGCACAGAAGGAGAAGGAGCAAAACAAGATAATTTCATTATTTTTAAGACAATCTCATGATTTGGAATCATAAGACAATTTTAAGACAGTGTTAAATCTTCTCCTCGCCTCCTCTCAGCTTGCCTTAACTACGCAGAAGCTGTACCCCAAAGCTTGTTGCAGTTACTCCAGAAAAATGTCTCCTAATTAAAAAAAAAAAAAAGAAAAAAAAGGTATTCCTAAAAGAGTATTTAAACAACTACAAAAATGAAGTGATAAATTGAACAAAGGAACCACACCAAGGGCTTTTTTTAACTACATGATTCACTGGGATCTGAACAAGCAGCATCCTTTAAAATTTTCCCCTTTCAGGTTCACCACTGTGATGGCAGCCCACCAAAAGAAAAAACAACCGGTATAGCCAGAATACTGTAAAAGTCACCTTCTATAGGACAAAAAAAAAAAATAAATAAATCACCTGTCCCTGTAATGGCCAGTTCATGGTGATCAAGCCCCATGGCCAACCGCAGCCCAGCACAGGCAGGCAGCAGTCTTAACATGCTGGATACAGGAGCAAAGCTACAGTCCCAGGCTTTCTTTTTCTGCAGCATGGGTGGAGCACAGCCATGTCCTGCAGAAGGTCCCATGTGGCAGGGCACAATGATGGTGGGCTGCCACAGCGATGGTGGGCTGCCACGTGGTACCAGCAGGAACATCCCCACTGCCGGGACATGCCATGGTGTTGCCAAGCTCAGAGCTGGGCTTGGTACCCGCCAAGACCCCAGGTGCCACGGTGGCTGCTAGCACCTCGCAGTTACATATCACCGTCTTCGCTTTTGGGAACAATTAAGCCACGTAACGGGCACTTGGAGGGTATCAGGTTCCTGCTGCTTATGGGGCTGTATTAATAACTGGGGCTAAAACCACACAGCAAACATAAAGGCAGGCAGAGCATCTCTGTTTTACAAAAGACTTGGGATGGAGAAGAGAGATTCATCCAAAGCAGCAGCATTGGGGAAAGCAAAGCTCCCCTCGGCCCCAAGCACAGTCTGGAGGCCAGCCAGAAACCAGCTCAGGGCCCCCTTTTGATTCCTCCACATAAGCACAACCCTCTTTCTTTGCTATTTCAGTTACAAACCATGTTGCAAATGCTTTTCCTCTCTCTCGCAGCCGTGCTGCCAGCGCAGGAGGGAACCGGGACACAGGGATGCAGCCGCAGCTGTGAGTGGGTGCTGCCAAAACCATCCGTGACCCACCTCCGTGGAGCCACACACTAGCCATGAGTGGCTTCTTCTCGCGCCTGGACCCACGGCGGGTGCCATGGGGGGCAGCGGGCCATGCCCTACGCACCCGCGTCCTGCGCACGAAGCCCGTGGAGTCAATGCTGGAGGGCACAGGGACCGCAGCTGCCCAGGGCAGCAGGCTGGCCAAGGTCCTCACCACCCTCGACCTCATCTCCCTCGGCGTCGGGAGCTGCGTGGGCACTGGCATGTACGTGGTGTCCGGCCTGGTGGCCAAGGAGATGGCAGGACCCGGGGTCATCGTTTCCTTCATCATCGCTGCTGTCGCCTCCATCTTGTCAGGTGGGTCGCGTGGGTGGGTTTTTTGAGGAACGCACCATCTCGTGCATCCTCTGGTTCCATTCGTGGGTGGATGCCTGGCAGGACCCACACTCAGCAGTGCAGGCTACGAGGAGGTGATGACTTCTCTAGAGACTAAAACACCCTTTCGCGTTGGGCTTATCCATGCGGTGCACCGTCCCTCATTGCCCAAATATCAGGCCAAACCTTGTAATGGGAGCCAGCAGCCCAAATGTAATTACCCTGATGAGCTGCTGACGGCTTCCCCAAGGATGGAGCCTGTGGTTAATGCATTTTAAAACACTCGTGAGAGTTTTGCAGAGCACGTCCCAGGCAGAGAGCACAGCCAAGCCACAGCATTGGAGCAAGAGCACAACGTGGCTGCGGGACCTCCTGTTTGAAGAGGAAAGATGTCGGTTTCTTGGGTAGCACCAGGGCCATCTGCTTTGGGCCATCTGCCATTGCTAACAGTTAAACAGTCTCTCAATTAGTTTTGGAGTTGATTTTATTGGCTCCTATTCACTCAGGATCACTCTTTGAGTTCCCAAATCAAAAACAACAAACAAATGCGCAGAGAGAGGAGAATTACATAATTTTAGTGAAAAGCCGGTGAATTCCACCTCCTCCATAGGAACCCAGCTGAGCATATGGCTCAAGCTGCGGTTTCCACATGAAGCCAGTACTGCTGGCGTTTGTCCTTTCCAGATCAGTGCTAACACGATGATGTGATGTTCCCACTCGCCCTGCTCAGGGGACTTTGCATGCTGTGTCAGTCTGGTATCCAGCTTTTAACTGTGGGTTGGATAAGGAAACTTGAGTAAATGGCAAAGGGATTTGCTAGAAGACAGGAACAGCAAACACAACAAAATGACCCAGCTCAGCTTCACAAGTCTCTGGATTTTCATAGCGGGAGGTGGAAGCA